ACCACAGATACTAATGAGCCCTTCTGTGAACTGACCAGATGAGAATAAAGAAAAACCTGTCAAACTTCAAGTTCACAGCCACCTGTGGGCTGGCATGACTGCTGGAATGCTGAGGAGCCCCAGTCAGTGAGTCTGCACTCACCCCAATTCCATCCCACAGGCCTTCACCAACTGCACCCGGCAAACGGGGTGCAGAGCACAAGCGCGCTGCAGAGGCCCTCCTGAGGCTAGGAATGAAAGAACAGGAAAGCCAAGGGCAGGCCTGGAGATCAGAGTACTCTTCCACAACCCAAAAAGGTAGCAGCAGCAAATACACTACAGCAAGACCTCACTAAGTTTAGGAAGCGCACAACTCGGCTATGAAGAAAGACATCTCAGGACTCTCCCGTTCCCATATCCCTCTACTGGAAGGGAAATCCTGATCCCACCCTCAAAACGTATGAAGCCAGTGACCAACCAAATGCAACTAATGCTACAAGCCCAGGGAAGATTAGATACAAATTAGACTGACCCAGCCCTACCCACATAACAACTGAGAAAGAAAAGAGCACATCCTTTACTGGGGCTGATACTACTTTAGCCTCTACTCTTTTTTTTAACATATTTTTATTGATTTCAGAGAGGAAGGGAGAGGGAGAGATAGAAACATCAATGATGAGAAAAAATCATTGATCGGCTACCTCCTGCATGTCCCCACCAGGGATCGAGCCTGGACATGTGCCCTTGACTGGAATCAAACCTGGGACCCTTCATTCCGCAGGTCGATGCTCTATCCACAGAGCCAAACTTGCGAGGGCCAGCCTCTACTCTTTTTAACACAAAAAGGCCCAGCACACTTCAAAGATAATGAGCCCGGCCAGTGTTGCTAACTGGTTAGATTCCCCACAGGGGCATATGCCCAGGTTGCAGGTTCAGTCCCCAGTAGGTGATGTGCAGGAGGCAGCCAATTGATCGTTCCCATTATTGATGTTTCTCTCTTTCTCACTCTTCCTCCTCTCTGAAATCATTAAAAACATTTTTTAAAAAAGACGAGACAAAGTAAATTATGTGACCCACAGTCAAGAGTTGTTGTTCCCTACACGCAGATTCAGAGACCAAAATAAGTTGTTCAGAGTGAAGAAAAATAATCAGACAAGACACATGAAAAGGAATTTAAAACATCAGAAAAGGTATACAGATGAGCAAGCGAATGAATACTGATTTTAAAACACTAGCAGGCACTAGCCAGTTTGGGTCAGCGGACTGAGCATCGGCCGGAGAGCTGAAGGCTCCTGGGTTTGATTCCTATCAAGGGCCCATACCTCAGTTGCAGGCTCTATCCAGGCCCTGGTCAGGGCACTTGCCAGAGGCAACCAATCAATGTGTCAACACATCATGTTTCTCTCTCCAGTCTCTCCCCCTCCCTTCCACTCTCTCTAAAAATCAATGGAAAAAATATCCTCAGGTAAGAATTAACAACAAAATCTATACTAATAAAAGGGTAATATGCTAATTAGACTGGGAGACCTTCCGGGAGACCTTCCAGACAAAGCCATGATGGTGGGTCTGAGGCAGAGGTGGTTAGGGGCAAACAGGCCGCGGGGGTGGGGGGCAGTTGGGGGCGATCAGGCTGGCAGGGAGTGGCAATTGGGGGCAAGCAGGCTGGCAGGCAGAGTGGTTAGGGACCATCAGGCAGGTGAGCGGTTAGGAGCCAGCGGTGACAGATTGCAAGAGGACCTAAACCAGCAGTCAGACATCCCCCAAGGAGTCCCAAATTGGAGAGGGTGCAGGCTGGACTGAGGGACACCGTGCACGAATTTCATGCACCGGGCCACTAGTTAATAAATAAAACAATAGCAGTAACATCTGGAAAAATTTTCAACAGGTCAAAATAAAATATAATAGCCCAAAGGGCAGAAGGGTAACAACCAACAGCTTCTTCCTCTCCAAGAATTCCAGCTGACAGTTTTCTAATTAAAAATTTTTTTCTAGCCCTGGCTGGTTTTTCTCAGTGGATAGAGCACCGGTCTGCGGACTGAAGGATCCTGGGTTCGATTCCTGCCAAGGGCACATGCCTAGGTTTCGGGCTCTATCCCCAGTAGGGGGAGTGCAGGAGGCAGCCGATCAATGACTCTCATCACTGATGTTTCTCTCTCTCCCTCTCTTTTCCTCTCTGAAATCAATAAAAATATATTTTTTTAAATGTTTTTTCTATAATAATCCAACTCAATTCAGTCATTTAAATATAATTTTTTCTTAATTAAAGAAACAGAGTAGCCGAAACCGGTTTGGCTCAGTGGATAGAGCGTCGGCCTGCGGACTGAAGGGTCCCAGGTTCGATTCCGGTCAAGGGCATGTACCTGAGTTGCAGGCACATCCCCCACTGGGGGATGTGCAGGAGGCAGCTGGTCAATGTTTCTCTCATCGATGTTTCTAGCTCTCTCTCTCTCTCCCTTCCTCTCTGTAAAAATTCAATAAAATATATTTTTTTAAAAAAAGAAAAGAAAAGAAACAGAGTAGCCCTAGCCGGTTTGGCTCAGTGTATGGAGTGTCAGCCTGCGGACTGAAGGGTCCCAGGTTGGATTCCAGTCAAGGGCACATGCCCAGGTTGCATGCTCCGTCCCTAGTAGCCATCCCTAGTAGGGGGTGTGCAGGAGGCAGCCAGTCAATGATTCTCTCTCATCATTGATACTTATCTCTCTCTCTCCCTCTCCCTTCCTCTCTGAAATCAATAAAAATATACATTTTTATTTTTTTTTTTAAATATATTTTATTGATTTTTTACAGAGAGGAAGGGAGAGAGATAGAGAGTCAGAAACATCGATGAGAGAGAAACATCGACCAGCCGCCTCTTGCACATCCCCCACCGGGGATGTGCCCGAAACCCAGGCACATGCCCTTGACCGGAATCGAACCTGGGACCCTTCAGTCCGCAGGCTGACGCTCTATCCACTGAGCCAAACCGGTTTCGGCAAAAATATACATTTTTAAAAACACACAAAAAACAACGAAACAGGGTAGGCCCTGGCCAGGTATCTCAGTTGGTTAGAATGTCATCCCAAGTTTTCAAGTTCAATCCCCAGTGAGGACACACACAAGAATCAACCAATGAGTACATAGATAAGTGGAACAGCTTATGTTTTTCTCTCTTTCTCCTTCCTCACTCTCTCTAAGGCTGGTGGACGATTTGTTATTCTATTTGACAATCTGATAGCTTATAATAAAACAGATAATATACCTCAAATAGAAACCAAAATAAATATAACAAACTAGTAATGAATTTATTTATGGTATATGAGGACTCATTACATATACATTTGAAATACTTCTTAAAATTTTTTTAAAGCAAGACTTTCACTGGAGAACTAGAAGCTACTCACATACCTTTAACAAAACAATTCTCCTCTAGACAGGAAGCTCATCCTGTTCCACTTAGTGCTGGATGGGGTGGGGGCGAGGAAGGTAGAGGAGGAAAAGGATACCCACCAGACAGACCCAATCAGCAGGCACTGAGCAATGAATGTCACAGCCACATCACAGGAGTGTATCAGAGACTTTCAATCATTTTAAGCAAAATGTTAAGAGTTTTAAACAATTCTGACATCAAAAGCCAAAATGTGTATGCCTATTAAAATGTATGTCTATTTCCACTAAGCATTCATTACACTTGCTTCAAAATTTAAGCAACTTTCTCTTCAGCAGCATCTTTACTGTCAGTCACGTCAACACTTCTGTGCTTCACTGAAAACACTATTACCTCTTACCAACAAGACTCCAGACCAGTCCTTTACACATTTCCTTACATGAAAAACAAATCTCAAAATATCACTCAATAAAACAAAAACTCCATCATGCAGAATTTTCAGAACCCACTTTCTTGAAAATATTTGCTTTTTAAAATTCGCAACAAAAAATCTCTAGTAAGACAAACATTAAAACTGGCAACTGAAATAGAATCCCTTTGTTAATTTTGTGTTAATGCATAACTGGTCATATACAGATGACAAATCTCCTTGTTTATTTCTTATCCTTTTTATTTAATTCAGGAATGAAAATTGTGTCCTACAACTTTGCTTACAAGTATTAGAAAAGTGGTAAGAGATTATTCAAGAACTCTTTATTTAGTTGTTTTGCAAATACAAGACGCTGAATACAGCCCAGCAACTAAAGAAATCCTTTGTCCTAATACAAAAATTGACAAAAACTTTTTTCTGGAAAATGTTTTTATTCCACTATGGACAAACGAATGGATAAAACCTAATTAAATACTGTGAAGGCAACTAAACTAAGTTGACAAAGTATAACAGAGAGAGAACTACAATCTACATTAATGCTGCTCCCAAAACAGAAACTGCAGTTATGTCCAGCAGATGACTGTAAAAATTCATCAAAATGAATCCGCTTTTAAGGCATTCAACAAGTGCACCGCTGAGAGCAGCAAAACTAAGGGAGGCGTGCCATTCTCACAGCATCAATATTTTTATTTTTATTACGATGATGAGGTAAACGAAAAAAAAAAAGCTAAAGAGGTGCATTTCTCCACCTTTTCAGACACCAGAGGTTCTATCTACTCCTGGGGAACAAGTGGCCTGAGATGTGGGCGGGGCCCAGGGAAGACGACCAATCAGCGCTAGAGTTACAAGCCTGGGGAAGAAGACTGACGGCCGGGAGCAGCTCGCTGGAGGGCGGGCGCGCCGCCGCGCGCACGCGCGCCCCCGCCGCCCACCCTCGGCAGCGCACCTGGGGGCCACCCCGCCGCAAACCGCCCGCAGGGCCGCCCCCGCCGCCGCCCTGCCGACCCTGGGGGGCCCCCTGGGCGCCGTTTCCTACCAAAACACACACAGCCACCCCAAAAACAAAACAAAACAAAACCTACCGCGGGAAGCCCGGCAGACGCCGCGGCCGCCCGCCCTCCCGCCGCCCGCCGCCGAGCGCGGTTCGGACACTTCGCCCCACCGGCCCGAGCCCCGAAAAGGGGGCGGGGGCTCGGAGACCCTGGACGCAAATGTCAAAAGCCTCACCAATTCCTCGTAGCTCCTGTTGTGCTCGTTGCCCTCCCAATCCAGCCTCTTCGGCAGCAACTGCAAAGACACGAGATGCACACGAGTGACCACCACGCGGGTCCGGGGCGGGGGCGGCAGGAGAAGGGCAGCGGGGTGGGGGCGGCGGGCGACCCCGAACAAGGCCGGGCGGGGGGACGGCGGGGACCGGAGGGCACGGGGCGGGGGCGCCGCGATGCACAGACCTGGTACTGCTCCAGCTCCTGCACCAGCACCTGCAGCCGACGATACGCGCAGTTAGAGGGGCGGGGGCCGCACCCCGGTCCACCCACCCGGGTCCACCCGCGCCCTCCTCCCGCGACCCCAGGCGGTGGCGGGGCCGGGACGGGCCGCCGCCAGCGAGGCCCGCGCTCACCTGGGCGGCTCTCCGACACGGGCCGGCCGACAGGTAGCGGGCGATGAGGAAGTACAGCTCTGGGGGGAGACGGGGAACCGGGTCAGGGGCGGGCGCGCCGTGAGAGGCGGCCGGGCAGGGACGCGGGCCGGGGCGCCCGGGCAACCGCGGGTGGAGGGCCTTACCGGACTCGATGAGGGGCACCGGGCGTCGGGCGGGCGAGGACTCCGCCATGGCCGGGCCGGGCACGGGGCGCGGGGCGAGGGTGGGAGCGAGCGACGGAGCGTGTAGGCCGCGCCGAGGCCTGACCGGGCCGGCGTCCCTCTCCCAGGCGCGCCGCCGCCTCCAGCCGTGCGCGCCGCCAGCGACGCCTCCGCGAAGTAGTCCCTCCGCGGAGGAAAAGTAGTCCCAGAGGGGCGCCGGGGCCCGGGACCTCTGGCGGCCCGGCCCCGCCGGGAAGAGCGACCCTCGCGGCCCAGCCCTCCGTCTCGGCGGGCGCCGGGGAGGGGAACCCGGTGGGCGAGGGCCCGGCCCGGCAGCCGGCGGGGGAGGGGCGGCGCGTGGCCGGATCCCTGCGCGCGGTGAGCGGCCGGCGGTCCAGCCGCGCGGGGGGCGGAGGTCGGCGCCCGCGGGGAGGGGGCCGGGCCGGGCCGGGCGCCTCGGGCGCGGGTGGCGACGGGTCCTGGCGCCCGGGGCCCAATTGCGCCCCTGCCCGCCCGGCCTTCCGGGCTCGGGACGCGCAGCCGGCCCGCCGGGCCACCCGAAGGGACCGTTCACGGGCGGTCATCGGGGCCCTTGTATTCGCTCCCTGCCCCCGCCCCCACCAAGATCGCTCGCTTCGCAGACGCGAAATCCAAAAAACTGAGCATCGCGCCGCCCGCCAAGAGGAGGACGGCCGGAGCCGCTCCCGCGGGCAGGGGAGGGGGAATGCGGGGCGGCCACGGCGTGCGAGCGGCCAGGGCCCGCGGACGCCGACCCTCCGGGGCTGGAGGGCGCAGCGGGCGTTTGCGGCGCGGCCAGGCCGCCACGTGCGGTGCGCGGAAGGTAGACTAAGACGGCGCCCGCGTCCTGGGAGGAGCCGCAGGCCGGGGAGAGAAGGGGTTAGTTAAAGGCAATGCAGCGCATCGCGGAGGACGTCGACCTGGCGGGGCCGGGAGAGCAGCCAGGGCATCGCTGGGCGGATGGGGACGGGATGGGAGGAAGCGGGCAGCCTCCGCTCCGAGGGAACGAGCAGGAAGCTTGGGGGGACCGTGTGTACCGAGGCTTCTCTTGGGAGCCAGGAGTTGGGACTGGAGCAGTGGACAAGGGCCAGAGAAATTCCTGTGTCATGCTGGGCCTCCGACCCAGCTGCATGCGTTCGCTGGGCACGTCCAGGGGCCCGGTCTTGAGCCCCAACGCACAGCAGTGAGAAAAGGTGCGTCCCCGCCTCCGCGGAGCGGGCACCGTCCTCCCGATTCCTACCCCGTGTCTACCCTCCAGGTATAGATGGCAGATGTAAGGGCTCCCGTCGGACTGGGGGGCACTGACCCTGGGTCTTGTCCACCTATGAGATGTGTGACTTGGAGCAAATGCTTCACCTCTGAGCCTCAACCTGAATCACCTGCAAACTGGAAACGGTCTTTGTGCCTACTTCACAGGGCTGTGAAGGTTTCATGGGTTCATACGTGTCCTTACCATATAGCAAGCACCTTCCACGATCTCTTTTGTAATTATTTACACCCAGTAGCAAAAGTTCTTAATGTTTGTGAGCAAACAATCCAAACATGTTTGGACAAGGACATCGGTTAATCCGGTCTTTTATCTGTTCAGCAAACGGTACCAGGTGATGGAGACAAGATGAAGGAATGAGCCACAGCTGTGCCCTCAAAGACTTCAGTGTCTTGGGGAAACAGAAGCAAGCAGATAATGACAAGATTTAGAGCAGGGGTAGAAGGCAGATCAGCCTGCCTTCGGGAGGGAGGGACGTCAGAGAAGTCTGAGTTTTCCAGACTTGGGTGTAAAAAGCGATCCCAGCATAGGAACAGCAAGGAGCCAAGAGATGAATAATTTCAAGTATAAGGAACTTGAAGTTTAGTATAACAACTTGGGGTGACTTTAAGGTGTGGATGGGACCCAATCAGTCAAAAGTTAAAATCGGGAGCAAGTGAAAGGTTCTAAGGTAGTTTTCATTTCAGGATTAAAACCGAGAGGCAGGAAAAAGTACTTAGTAGACTTATGTTTCCTGAAATAGGAAATGTGTAGATGCATTAGGGTGGATAGCGATAAGGAGGGAGAGGAAGAGAGAGGATCAGAAATATGTAGGGGGTTGTCTGGCTCAGTGGTTGAGCATAGACGTGTGGACAGTTCGATTCCCAGTCGAGGCACTTGTCTGGGTTACAGGCTGTATCCCCATTGGGGGGGCGTGCAGGAGGCAGCCAGTCCTGGATGATTCTCTCTCATCATAGCTGTTTCTATCTATCCCTCTCCCTTCCTCTCTGAAATTAGTTTTTGTTTTGTTTTTTTAAATGTAGGGTGTTGAATCAGGGCGATGAGGTTGGGATACAGTGAGAAGAGTCACAAAAATCTCACCTGGGGGCTCAGTAGGTCCAGGTTGTGTAACCAGTGGAGATGGGGCATACAGGCTATAGCTAAAGTGTTCGGATAGATAACTAAGAACAACTTGATCTTTGAAGTTACAGGCATATATTCCTGTGGGACAGTCTGATCTGCTACTACAAGATTGTGAAGTTAGTAAATGACAAAGACAAAAAGAAGGGAGAATTTAAACTTCTAAAGGTTGACCAAGGAATTACATATTTCATTATGTAACAATATAATAAAAGTAAAACAAAATTGCCCCCCAAACATGTTATAAAAAATGTATATCCCCAGCACTGGTCATTGCCCAAAACTACAGTTCTGGTGTGGGCAGCATGGTAACCAGGATGAGAGAGAAGGAATATGACAGCTGTTTTCCTGTGCAAGAGCCCTGGTGGCTCCTTTCTGTCACATTATATTATTACTCCGACATCCATGACAAGTACCGTTCCTAGATTCAAAATAGAGATTTCTGAAGAGGCAGAATGTCTTCTCCATTCTACTCCCAAGTGACAGAGACCCTGGTTGGACTCTCTCGTATGCCAGTGAACAGGAGGAGAGGGGGATTGTGGGGACCTGCCAGAAGTGGCCTCCAAACAAGGTGAGAATCGCGTATGTGTCCCTCACACAGCGGAATCCAAGCCATTCCAAGTGAACACACGAAGGTTTGCTTTGGGGTAAATGGAAATAACTTGAATTTCGCCACAGGAAAGCTGTATGGAGAGCTAAACGATTGAAAAGTTGCTTGGTAAGCGAGGGTTGGAAGATCTTAACTACCAACTGGTGATGTCAGCTATAGTGCTGTCTCCCATCTCCACTATAAGGAAACTAAGATGTTTTAGTCCTTAGGCAGCAACCCCTCCCCTGGATAAGCAGCACTGATCCTCACACAGCTGTTAATCAGGTGCCATTAACATGCTCACTTCACAGCTGACAACGCTGGGTCTGCAAGCCCCAGAGAACAGCACTACCTTAGCCTGAACACAAGCACTGCACAATTCTTTCTCCCCTCACCACTTTTCACTAAGGAGGAAATCGGGACCTGGTTTTTCCTTTTTTTTTTAGTATATTTTTATTGAAAAAGGCAGGAAGAAGGAGAGAGAGAGAGAGAGAGAGAGAGAGAGAGAGAGAGAGAGAGAGAGAGAGAGAGAGAAAAATATCAATGGTGAGAGAGAATCATGGATCAGCTGCTTCCTGCATGGCCCCAACTGGAGATTAAACCTGCAACCCAGGCATGTGCCCTTGACCGAGTCGAACCGGGGACCCTTCAGTCTGCAGGCCAACACTCTATCCACTGAGCCAAACCAGCTAAGGACCTGGTTTTGATTCAGTGTTTGTTTTTTGGCTTTTCTCGATAATTGTTAAAATGGGGATAGCAACTAATACGGTGTGTATTTCTATGTCCTGGATCCTGCGCTAAACCATTCACATGTATTCCACAAGATCACACAGTACCTGAGAGAACTGAAATCAGAAAATTCATGTCATAAATGCATGCATGGTCTCAACACAGGCAACTCAAGTTAGATAATCTTTTTAATTTCATTTTAAAGATGAGGAAACTGGGGCTCAGAACGTTTGAGAAGCTGTCTAAGGATGAAAAATCTTTAAAAAAAATAAAAAAGAATTCACTGGGGTGTTCCAAGTCAGCGCAAATGCATTACATGTGAACAGCTTGTCTGGAAAATGGTGAGCAAATCAATCTGTTTCCAACAGTTCACCTAGGAGAGTGGTCAAAAGTGAGAACTAGTGAGTAGATCAGGGTCAGTTTTGTAAGAGTTTTAAAAATAAGCAGTGGAGAGCATGCAAAGGAAAGGATACACAAAATTCAAATTCTGACATCAGCATGCTAATGCAAATGTAGGTGACCTGAATTTAGGTTCATTCAGCAGGTGGTGCCCACCCATGCACAGGATGGCAGAGTTCTGAGGGACATCAAAGAGCAGATGACACCGGAACTATGTAAGCGCGATACCACCAAACTGCACCAGTACAGGGAGGTGAAAGCCAGGTCACAGGAAGCCTGCCGCCTCCCATCCATTCAACAAGAAATGTATTGAAAGCCGGTCAGATCAGTCCCCTAGGGAGGAACAGTCACCACCTTGATAGATCTCCAGAGGACTTTGAGAGAAAACACGAATCCGGGTTTCTAAGCCTTCAAGTCGCTTGTAGGAGACCTGGCGTCTCATTCCCGAGTCCCCTCCTCCTCCGGGCAACGTTATCTTTCCTCAGGACCTTCTCTGCCCTTTAACCCAGTGGTTCTCAACCTTGGCTGCACATTAGAATCACCTGGGAATCTTTTTTTTTTTTTTAAGCGTTTTTTTTTTTAAGGATGGAAGAGGTTTTTTAATATATTTTATTTTTTTAAAAAAATATATTTTATTGATTTTTTTAGAGAGGAAGGGAGAGGGATAGAGAATTAGAAACATCGATGAGAGAGAAACATCGATCAGCTGCCTCCTGCACACCTCCTACCAGGGATGTGCCCGCAACCAAGGTACATGCCCTTGACCAGAATCGAGCCTGGGACCTTTCAGTGTGCAGGCCAATGCTCTATCCACTGAGCCAAACCTGCTCAGCGCTGGGAATCTCTTTAAAATCCTGATTTCTGGGCCTCATCCTCCGGAAATTCTGTTTCTTTGTTACTAATGATGTGGCCCCACCCCATAACAAAGAAACAGAATTTCCGGAGGATGAGGCCCAGAAATCAGGATTTTAAAAAGATCCCCAGAATTTCCGGAGGATGAGGCCCAGAAATCAGGATTTTAAAAAGATCCCCAGGTGGTTCTAATGT